TGGATCGGGGCCCATGTGGTTGAAAAACAATATAGATTTTTCAATACCGCCTTTACCCTTTTTTATATCGGAGACCCGAACTATTGCTCCAATTGACATGATGTTTATCTACTTTCGAACTAAACAGGGTCTACCTGTGAAGAACATGTCCTACGGTCATCTATTTTGCAGAGAAGCTTTTGAATTAACTTCTTCCATGCAAGATTCAGCTATACTAACGCTTTTGAGCACTTTGTTATGTTCAGAATTAAAATATTTTGAGGTAAGATATGTATTCTGGAAGGGAATAATCAAAAACACATTCCTGTTCCATGAATTTGTGTAGGAATAGGTACACATCAACGGGGCTACCTGGAAGGGTATAGCTTTTAAGAGAAACTTTCACCAAATTTGTGATCTTTTCTTCGCATCATTCCTTGCTGCATTCATCTACTTCTTATTTCGAGCATTTAACATTTTTCCTTGCTTTCGAAAGTCTTCTAAAGATTTCGGAGGAATTCTTTGAAAGGTGAGGGATTCGTTTTGTGCCAAAACCTGTTCATAAATATGAAGCTTATACTTTGGGTCTGTGGAGTTAGATCGTGGGCAACAAGAGTTTGAAACAACGTGTCAGGATCAGCAAAATGTTGCCTGAAGGATCAGCAATATAGGATAAAGGAAAATAATTGTGCTGTTCAAAATAGTGCGTTTTTCTTAGGCCAGGAATTTTTCATTTTATACTATTTCAAAATACAATATATATGTTTCCACGCGATTGTAACTAAAGTTTGGTATTATGCAGTTGCTTCTGCTTTCTAACAAACTTTGATTAAAAGAATTAGCTTGTCAAGGCTAAATATTGTAGATTAAACGTCATAACTTTTCCTACGAGAAGCTAATAGGGTTGAAATGTAATGCATGGGGTCGTTCTTGTTTCCTCTATTCATGGATTTGCGAAATGACTTCTTGACTCTCGTAAGAAACATTCCGATATGCGGAAACATAATAATAAATTTTCCCCTAATAATAAGAATCCATGCTTCAAGTCTTTATATAGTATGTATTCCAAATAAAACAGTTGTCCTGCGATGCATTATGCCTCCTTCAGCTAACGGAGAAGAAAAGAAAAATAGCTTTGTCTTCATCTTTTATCAAAACCAACAAGTTTATGTTCACCTCTACCAAGTCCCACTTAATCATTGCGTCCAATGTCCGATCAAGTTGCCTATTCGCAGGTTGCTTGTAACATGATCTCCTTCTATTTACCCCTTGGAATAAGAGCATGATTAAATCAAAGAAAAGGTTAATGGGTGAGCAAGCAACGCTGTCTTTGAGAGAGCAACTTGACCTTTGCTTTCTAACCACAAAATCTCATAAAATTTGATCTTAATTGGTTACAGGAACGGTATCTTCACCTTTACACCCAGCTGATTCGCAAGTGACTTAAAAATTGCATACCTTATCACTAGGGGCAACACTTTCTTATACAATTAGTTCAACTCAAAACGAAGCTGTTAAAACTACAAAATTTGAACAACTGCATGCATTTTTAAGTGAAACCGCACCATAGTACTGATCACCAGGGGCGGACCGGCTGGTCGGGCTACCGGGCGATCGCCCGGTGCTCCCTCCCAAAATTATCACAATTTTTTCTTAATTTTGCTATTAAATGAAAACTCGTATTGTTTGGTAGGGGCCCTCTCCTGCTGTCATAACACCGAGACTCTCGCAAGATTAGTGGATAGTGGATACAGAATGGTTAAAAAGATCACTTTGCGGTATTTAAGTATTGAAGAAGCATTTTCCAAAATTTGGGGCCCCATGTAAGCAAGGAGAATCCTGGGCCAAGCTTTGGAAACACTAGGAAGGTACACTTTTTTAATGCTAACCAAATAGATTTGAGAATATAGACCAGAACAGTAAAAGGGCTCAACCCCTTCAGCTCTGACCAACTTTGCTCCAGCACATCCATACGTTGCTCCAGTATAAAACATGAATGACTCACCAAAGATCTTAGGCATAAAACATGCGGTACTTACGCCAAATTATGGTGTATTTCTTCGGCAAAATTTGGCATAACTTCATTGGCGTGGTCTGACTGTGCTAGTTTTTAATTCGAAAATTTGCTGACGTGGCGAAATCCATGCGAGATTTGCCCTGACAAACTTTGCAAAATAACAGGCCCGTAGACACTAGAGGCAGGGGGCAATGACCCCTCCCAACAATTTGCAAAAAAATGTGTTTTAAGATCTTATAAGCGCAGCTTGATCTGACAGTATTTTGTAAGGTAGGTAAAGAAAAAGTTATACTTCTATCCATGCCCCCCAATCCAGTTCAGCAGTCTACGGGCCTGCATAAAAATGCATAAGTTTTAAATGTCTCCCATTTTAAACTAAACAAGAAAAAAGAAACGAGATACAACTGGAATACTTAGTTGTATTACAAGCTTTATGCACATAGAAATGTAGCCATGAATTGATATCTAAACATAGAAAGGAATGACTCGTTATTCTTGAAAGTTTCTTAGACTGAACACATTTATTTACTGTCTTCAATTGGCAAGAAAGCGTTTTTTATAATTGCATTTAGAAATTTGTTCAAAGCTATGTGTGTCGGAATTGCTGGACTTGTCGCTAAAAGTTGAGAATAATTTCTTGGCTCTTTGGTAATTGGAAACTATTAGGGAATAGGGAATTATTGTAAATGGAAAGCTTACATGTATTGCCCAGGATCGTCCTTTCGGCAAATATTCTAGATGCATTTCTGGCCATCCCTGTAAGGTCATATTTCGAAAATTTTTCTTGAATTCGGTCAGATGGCCTTTATTTAACCCCTGAACAATCTAAACATATCGCCCTTTCCCTTACTTCATTAACGTTTCGCAAACTCTGCCTATGTTACTGATGCTACCATCTTGGTTGCTTCGCAAACAATCAATTCACCTGCCTGCTCAACCAATGATCGAAAAAACATCAACCCCTATTATGTTTTGATTGGAAAATTACATATCAAGATTTTTTTGAATAATTTAGAGATTTCTTGAATAACTTAGATTTTTTACTAAGTTCTACCCTGGGTACCAGAGCCTCAGTGATCGAAAAAGGTGACCCCTCTAAATACCATTCGCCATTTTTATCACTGAGGTCCCCCTTTAAAAGCCCTTCAGATAGAAAACAATAATTGTTTCCCTTGCAATGTCATGATTTTCTCTAATCTCTTATCCTACGTCAGAATTGAATTTCCAGTGAAAATGATGCTGACCTGGAGTACAATTGCAAATCCCCCTTGTAAATCTTTTACACTTACGCCTGCATCCCTGGTGGTTACTAATTAGAATTAATAGCAATATTCCAATAACGTTTTAAGCCAGTATAAAAAAGTGATGCAACAAAAAACTTTGGGGATACCTGTAAACTTATTTTTGATTTTCAGGGCTCTTTCCCAACGAATTGGCCCGGGCCCTAAAATTGGAGCCAGTCCACCCCTGCTGATCACCGTCAACATTAAAAAACTTCGGTGGAACCTATATCTAAGATTGGGGATGGAAAGTGACTGGAACTCCCTTTTAATTGTCAAATCGTCCTGTATTTCCTTTATAACAGTATACTGAATGGGAAGCATTACAATGGGCAGCCACCCCCTTTCCCTAAAACGAATTTCGTTCCGACGGCATTGGTTGTTGAAGTTTATACATCACAAAGGGGTGTCCTCAAAATTTCTGCTGAAAAGGCCAAGTTTAAGTAGGATACCAGGTATCCATGCTGAATCACGCATTTCACGGTACTTGACTTGAATTTCACGATCACACCCCAAGAATCTCTTTGAATTTTAACAAGGGGGCTGAGCCGCCCTGCCCCCCACCCACTCCTCCACGACACAACTTCTCTATCACAAATTTTTTTCATCAACTTTGCCTTTGAGCAATCTTGATCAACAGCTCCTAGGACATCATCTTCTTGGTCTTAAGCAATAAACTTCGTCGTGTTGGTAGATTACATCAGGTTGTTTTCTATTTCCGTTCTAAGAGGCTGCTGTGCTAACATGTTTCTTACCGTTCCATTGTCGTTTTCTGCCTGACAGTGCGCTGCCTCACTGCAGAGCCGTCGTTGTTGGCAGAGCCATCGGCATTGGAATCTCTTAATATTGGAGACATTATTGTGGTCTGGTACCGGCAACCGAGACTTTCTGCTGGTAAAAAAGTAAGCACTCCATTTCTAAATTCGCTTGCAGCAATCATTTTCACGCAATCACGCGCGAATGCCTATTTACGCATTCACTCATAATTAAAACTTGTTTCACGAATTTATCAGCCACGTAACTGCAAGGGGGCAGGGGGCTGTGCTCCCCTCCCCCAAATGAAAATGTTCACAACAACTTGCCCCCTACTGGCTACAGTTTTTCCAAATGATATTTTGAAAAGCTGGCATAATCATAATTCCGTGAGCTGGCATAATCATAATTGTTATATATCTGCTTTCTTGTCTTAAAGCCTCCCCCCCTCAGGTATGGTTCTTGCTCGAGTTTGCCCACCCTAGGCATCTACAGCTACGTGGTTGGAATTCATGCATCGAAAATACCCGGATCGCGCCAAACACCAGGTAATCCCAAGTAGAAGATCAAAAGCAAATTTTCCATTCAACTCTCTGAAAAGGCCGAATTCTGCTCAGTCCCGCTGCGTGGCCCTGGCCCACGCAGGCCCACGCATATGCAACATCCAAATGGTTCCGTTTATTTTCATCATTCTTGGTTGTTACCTTGGAAACATTTCCAGAACTTTTTACACCCTGTGAAGTTCAATAAAAATTTCGCAGAAACTTATAACTTGGCTCTCTAACATATTGATAGATAAATATGTCAATTTATCACCAAAAAGCAATTTGTTTTTCTGCTCAAGCGGCTAGTTATCGTGGTTTGATCAATCAAAAGAAAGTGATTGATTAATCAAACCTATTGAATAACTGCAAATCACTGAATCACCCAGCCGCGGTTTCTCTTTTGTTATCTCGTTGTCAAGTGAACCAATCTTTTATTTGAAAACAGTTTTGCGAAGTAGCAATGGCGTTTAATAATTAATTCCTTCAACCTTAACAAATTCACGTCATTGCTGTTGTACAGGCAAGTACGAAGTTCTGGTTGGGAGAGTTCTCTCGGTATTCAATAAACTTGTTTCCCGTTACGAAAACAAGGTGCAGATGAGAAGTACATTTGCCAAATTCAGAAATTAGGCCGATCATAGAGCGCATCGATTGTGGAGTGAAATCGGAGCAGATTTAGTCAAACAGGAATCACTTTCGACATTGTGGTTTTATATGAAGGTTAAGCGAAAGGCCGAACTAGTTTAACTTTGCCTGAAAGGATTACAGATTTCGAATGATTCTCTAGATTATGAAGAAGCTAACGACGTATGGTTCGGCCATATTATTTGGCAAACTGACTTTACAAACATGGTGGATGATCTAAACGCGAACTTTTGTCGGAAGCGTTACTTTCTAACTTTACAGACTCATTTGCTATATATTTAATTCATACACAGCCCGTTGGTGATTTTCTCGTTGTTTTCAAGGTAACTGAGAAGCATTTCAGTTAAGATTGTGACAAAACAGCGCGTTTTGAAAGATGCCTTTCCACTAGGCGATCTCCAATTTCATATGACTTGCGAGGAAACCTCAGCGTCAATTCGGGAAGATTTTTGTCTCACAAACCCGAACTTGTGACTAAGTTTATTTACTCAAGGGTTAGATTTATCGTTGAACAGCTATTGGGCTTTGATATTCAATTATTGAATAAATTACAGAATTTATTTGGAAAAAAACTATAAAAACAAACAAAATGCATCGTTACCGAATGATGAAGCAACTTGGTGATGGGACGTACGGATCAGTGGCACTTGCTAAAGCAACAGACACCGGGGAAACAGTCGCAATCAAAAAGTTAGTGGTATAAAATATTACATTTTCAGCATTCATTCAGGCTGCCTACAAAAACAGCATTCTCATCATATTACATTATTCCTTTACCATAAGTTTTTCCATTTTTCATGGTTTCATTTTGATATCTAATTGCAAAATTTTTTTGCATATGCTTTGTAGTATAATTCTGTTTTGCGCAAAGGCGGTTTCGTGAGAAGATTTGACAAACTTGTTGCTGCATCAATGTATTCTTCCACACTTAATTAACAAATCATTTTCAAAAATAACCTTTTTCAAAGAGTGATGCTATTCATCTATTCCTTATTTAAAAATTTCACAAAGAACTTGGACTTAATAGATGATACTAAAATTAATGTGGCTGATTATTGAAAAACAGTTTTTTGGCTAGCTGTGTGTTTTTCAACATTACTAGAATATTATATAATGTTCTTTGAAATCCTCAATTCTTTTATTTGCTGAGTAATACATTTTTAAATTGGCTTTTACTTCTTAGAAATTATTCTTAAAAGTCTACTAGTCTAAAAAGATTAAAAATTGAAATGGGACATGATATATACAATGTATACCTTAAATAAATAGATAAAATAAATCTAAATGTCATTTAGTTTAATTTTATTTATTCTATGTTCTGGTTCCACATGCAAATAAAAACATACTTAGGTAACAACCAACATTTAAAGTTCTGCAACAAGTATATAATCAATTAATGAACAAACGTATCTACAGTGTCACAAGATGAAGAAAATAAAAGGCTCCAGAATTTTTATCAAAAGGGAATCAAAAGCGAAAATCTCTCGGCAGCAAAGCGTACCAAAGAAAGAACACTCAATTGTCGCTGTCCATTCTATTAGGATTTACTCTAAATGAATATTTTAAAAAATTAATCCACTTTCCTAATTGTTCCCAAATGACCTTCATTTCTATTGTCATCTCAGTAGACCTTTTTTTGGAAATGATAAGCCACTAAACTCCAAATAGATTTGTCTCCTTGTGCATAAGCCACCAAGATTAATGGTGCCAAATGTTTTGTGTTGAATAGCCTCAGGTGAAGACATGGTTTCACCCTCTCTCTTATCAGTTTCTTGACTAAATTTTGATATGCAAAAGCATTTGGAATATTATTCATAGTCTTCTTTAGTGAAAGGAAACTTAACAAAAATCCTATTAGTCCCCCTGGTGACATATTACATGGGACCACCTAAAACTGTCTCAATTGAAACTGTTCCATGATAGAATGAATCAGCCTTGAGTATAATGAATTGGCCATCGGCCGTTAATTGCTCCTGGCCTATATTCTGATTAGTAATGTTACACATTTTCTTTCTTGACAAAAGACAGCACAAAATAGAAGGATAATTCTCAACAAGTTTTTTGAAAGCCTTTCATATAATTTGAATATTGGATTTATCCTAATGTTAAAAAGTACTGTGTCTGGTGGCTCAAATTGTCTCCTAAAAGCTCCTAGAGTCAATCTTCGGACCTTTGAAAATAATTCCTGTTTTTACAGGAAGCATATTTTTTAATCAAAGAGTTAGCCAACACAATCTGTAATTCATTTTCCTTTAATATGCTCAACTTGTTTACATTTTTCGCTATTCTATATTGAAAGCCAATGGCTTCACATATCCTTCTGAACAGAATCTAGAACAGAATTTGATTTCTTTTAACAGAATGAAAAAGAAATTTTATTCATGGGAAGAGTGCATGAATCTAAGAGAAGTCAAGGTCTGTATGGATTAGTTGAAATAACATCATTTTCCTTTTCTTGTTCTTCTCTTAATATCTTTATGGCATAGGTATTGGTATGCGTCATTGAAAGTGCTGATAATACCTTATCATTAGCTTTGCAAAATACTTAGATAGGCTTTTTCTAGAATACTTTATAATCATGGCCATTTGATAGGGTCCTAGCCTGCTTATAGGTGGATGCTTTTAAAATTTTATATTGCATTATTAAAATTTTATATTTATATAATTAAAGACTAAATTATTCCAACATAAGCTGTATAGTATGAAAACCAAACAGAGGGAACTCTTTCAAAGGTCATCTTACACAATTAAAGTAAGCCATTTTCCAGAAATGGAGTAAATAACACAACATGCCATAGAATCAATAAAAGATCTAACATAATTGTGTTACTTAAACTGCAGAAATCATCAGAATAGTCTCAAATGCAATAATGCTGTTAACATTTGTTGAAATGTTGTTCAATTTTTATTGAATTGATATTTTTAGTCTCTGAGGAAGCTAAACCATGCTAACGTTGTCAAACTCAAGGAAGTCATCAGAGAAAATGATCAGCTCTTCTTTGTCTTTGAGTACATGAAAGAAAATCTATATCAACTGATGAAAAATAGGTTTGTATTGTTGCGAATTCTGTATTTCCTTCAAAATAGTTCAAAAAGTTTAAACTAGAGATTGCTTGAATCATTTTTGAAAAATTGTAATTAAAATTGTGATGTTATTGGAAATTGTGGATTTTAATTGGGTTTTGAGAAGATGCTTTAAAGCAAGGCAACATCTGCGGTGTCCTTTTTATGACAAAACCTGTTTTTTCTAATAAAGACCTGCAAGATATTGTCTACATATGAAGTATGAAAAATTTATCCTTGAAGTTTGCTTGAATCATTTTTTAAAAAATGTAACTCAGATGCTATGTATGCTATTGGGAATTATAAATTTTAATAAGGTTTTGAGGAGATATATACTTTAAAGCAAGGCAACATCCTTTTTATGACGTTGTCTACATATGAAGTATGATAGTAACAATTATGAAGTTTTTTTTATATCAGTTGCCTGATAAGATCTTTCAAGTACCAAACCTTGATTTATATTCTAATCTAACCAGCAATAATAATTTGCTGATTATCCATTGTTATCGTTTTAGAGATAGACTATTTCCAGAATCAGTAGTGAGGAATATAACATATCAGATGTTACAAGGAGTTGCATTCATGCATAAAAATGGTAACCAACCACATTTGATATTTTCTTCTAATATTTGAAATTTGAATCATGATTTTATTTCAAGAAACTACAACATTTGCATGCTATGCCATTTTTATTTAAAATATAGCTGGTTTTATAGTTTTTGCAGGGTAAAATAACAATTACATGTTGACAATGATTTGCAAGTTATTTTGAGGTTGACTCAAATACATCAAGGGCTTGGAAATTAGTAGAATAAGGGATGGAGCACCAAACATTGTCAAAGTCATGAGTTAAACAGAAAAACTGCTATTCAACAAACGAAATATAATTTTCCTTATACCAGATATTCTAATTTGGATAGCCAGGCCACTGCAAATACTAATTTATATGAAATCTTTAGTAAAAACTATACCAGCACTATATACAACAAGACCATTGACAATATTTACTTGGCCAATTGTCCCATGGATCTCGTTGATTTATCATGGGCCAGATGTGGCTCTTGGCTTATTCAATAGATGCACATGTATGCATTATGCATAATAGTTAGCAAACATTCAAATAGTGGAATTTTTACTTTCAGACATAACCCATTGTTCTTGCAATATAACTTGAAATAAGCAATTGTTATATCCTTTGCTTATATTAATTATGTTTTTTATTAATGCTGCTTGGAAAGTACAGCAATTTTCATAGAATCCTATCTTCTTTTTTCCAGGATTTTTCCACAGAGATATGAAACCAGAAAATGTTTTATGCAGTGGACCAGAACTCGTTAAAATTGCTGATCTTGGACTTGCAAGAGAAATAAGGTCTAGACCTCCATACACAGATTATGTATCTACACGATGGTAAGATTTCATACTTTTTGTGAATGTTTTTAAACGTCAGTAAAATAAGATTTCTTAAACTACATATGCACTTTATTTCTCTGCAGCTGAGCGGGTCTCATTTTGCTGCACTTATGTATAACCCCTAAGCTGATTGTTTAAGCCAAGATACTTAGTAGGAAGTATTTTTTGGTATGGTTATATGCATTGGTATTAAAGTGGCTCTTCTGCATCGTTTGGAAATATTTCAAATGATTTGTAGCAAATATGGAAGTTTCCTGCTCATATAGACCCACTTGTTTTGACTGGATATTACCTGTTTAGGACAGATTGAATTTTAACGTGGTTGAGGTTAAGTATATTGTTGTACAAAACAATATATTTCATAGCAGAATGGAGACGTTTTATAATCCCTGTTCCTTTAATCAAAACCGAAAGAGACAGTACTGTTTGGTTTATCCTGTTAACTAGCCTATTTCAATAGAATCATCAATATTATTTATTTATTCTGTTGCTGCTCATCATATCCGAAGAGTTGTGCTTTGCATTGCGTTTTTGATAATGAAAATAGGCCATTTATCGTCTGCCTGTCTCTATCCATGCAAAGGGCACTAGTTTGGTCGCATCTGAAACATGCAATATAAGGTCTTAGATTTGAGGATCATAGTTGCAAAGAATCCATTCTATGCAAGTAGGAACGAGGCAGTTGGCCTCTTTTTGGGCTGTTTTCTTTCTTGATAGGCTGGGTCTGGAACTAATGCTCCGGTACAGGTAGCAAAAGTTGATGTGCAAAGATCGTGTGGAAAAAAGGCCGTTATAGGAAGCGATTTATAAATACAGAACTTGAATGTGTGGCGAATGTTATTTGACTGCAGCTTTTTATCAAAGACAAGATACACGTGATCGAATTTAGGCACAGTTTTTCTCTTTCATAAATTCCCTTCTATCTACTATTACAGCGAAACAATCACGCCTTTAAAATCTCTAAACTAGGACAACGCAAGAGACCATTTAAGATCCTTCTCACAGAAACTTTCTCTCTTCTTTCATGAAACTTATTTCTTAGTAAAACGTATTTTATATTTGCGCATGACTTCCCTTGAAAGCAGTCAATTCTAAATTTGTGTTCAATAGTTAATGCTTTGATTTTGGCCATCTCCTCTTTGTGAAACACCATAGTTTTAACTAAGGCTCTTGTGTTTTAGTAAACCAAAAGAGTATGATTTAATCCACACGGACATGTTTTGTTCTCGATGATCATTTGTAAGGGTTGCTTAAAACTTTTAAAAGAAGCATCTGCTTCATTTGTTTTTTGTTGCGCTTCAAAATACTTGAAACGAAACCATTTCTTTAATTTCTTTGTCTCGTAAGTCTGCCTTTCTAACGAGACCGCGTTACGTTTGCAGAAGGTGGTTTTTTGTTTTTGTTTGTAATTATGTCATTGTAATTTTTCCCTGAAGATCCTACATAAATTTATCATGAAGAAAAGTTAAAAGCATAGAAAATAAAAATCTGCTTTAAAAATTGATAAGTCATCGCCTTTTTAAAGAAGCTTGCGAAACATTTTCTACTTGAAGTAGATCAAGGGAAGCTCTCGTTCAGCTGTAGATCCAAAAAGGAATTTTTACGAAATTCTAATGTCGATTTACAAACATAGTTAGTCACATTAATAATATACTCATAACTTTGATGAAAAACATTTGTAAACTACTTATAAACCAGTATCAAGTTGCTTGGGAAATACATTTAGATATTATAATTCAAACATTGCAGCTTCACTTTATTCTAGTAAGGTTACAGTTTTAATTTTACTCCGAAAATTAGAATATGTCATGATTCTAGACGCTAAAGACTTACAGTAGCTACTTTTAGAAATCTAGAAGTTTAGTATGGTTGTGTTTGCCTTCTTCAAAAACCAACCCCAGTAGCTAAGTTTTTTTATGAAAGATCCTGGTGGTTGGCGTCACCCTTCCTTAAGCTGGTTTGTATGAAGCAACACAAATAAATTCACTGAAATTGTGATTATTTTTGCCAATAGTTAATTCACCATCATAGACAACAGAATCTCACAACACCTAGCATCTCTAAAACTTCACGTCGTTGTCATCGTACGCCACAAAATAATATTTTAAATTGACCTCTTACGTAGACGGAATGTTTTCGTAAGTGTTTTCAGTATGAATAGTCCATCTTAGTGTTAGCAATTTCCTGTTTAATTTGGTTGAATGCAGCCACTTGCGGGTGCTTTGGTAACCGTTCTATTAAGTTCCTATGGATATTATTCTTCTTTGTTTAATCATTGAATCGCTAGTCGTGATCCATGTTCGGTTATCTTTACGATATCAACTCAACCAGATTCGTTTTTTTCTCAAGAGGCCGATGAACAAGTATCATAATGGAAATATTTAATCTGCAGAGCGCAAAGCGACGATGAAAATTTTAGGTAGACATGTTATAAGAATAGGCAAGATGCACTGGTACCCATAACAGTTTTGAAGGCAGCCAGAGATTGTTAAAGCGAAACTAGAATAGTTTTTTACATGTTTTTGGGTTGTTTTACGAAGTTAAAACGCTGTGTTCTATGTTAGACGAGAATTACTCAAATCTAATTGGTCTTAAAGATCATAACCATATCTTGCAATCCTGTTATTAAAGCCCGCACAGTCGCTTCTCTTTGACAGGACCACGTGAAAAATGACATATTAACCTTAGTTCTTTATGAAACTTTGGACTAATTCTGTCTCACCCCTCTGAACTAATTTCGAAGATGTAAATATCAGAGAAAAACACAAGGCCTCCAATGACTCCGATTACAAAGATTGTTATTCCTGGACAGTACCCTTTCCAAATGAGCATTCAGTAAAATGAACTTTTTAATTGCGAAGTTGATGTTATTATCTTTGTAATAAAGCTTGCTTTTACTGTTTTAGTCAAATAAACCCTTCTTTTATCCTGAACTGTAAGAGTAATTGTTTGGTTGGAGATGACGAGGGGACTGTACTATAAAATGCATGCTTTCCCTTATTTGTGTGTCTTATGATCTGTGCATACGATTGTCCTTCTCTATTGATTTTTTTCTTAAATCTTGCTCTATTAATGCTTTCAATTTTAACTGTAAAATTCTATAAATTTAGGTACCGTGCCCCGGAGGTCCTTCTTCGTTCGACCAATTACAGCTCGCCAATCGACATCTTTGCCATTGGCTGCATAATGGCTGAAACCTATACACTGAGACCGCTATTTCCGGGAAGCAGCGAAGTCGACATGATCTTCAAGCTATGTTCAGTACTGGGGACACCAGCAAAGGTATGTACTTATCTTTTTTCCTTCTTTATTGAAAGTGGGTACAATCTTTAGCTTTGTTTAAGCTAATCAAAACCAACTAATTTAAGTTACCACATCTAAATACATTGCAAATCAAACATAACCAATATTGCATATGTATTTCCTGCAAAGGTCACAAGTATATTTGAACGGTGAAAATTCTGAGGTTTTTGCTTTAATATTTATAAAGTCGGGGGCATTTTATTTGTTTGGAACAGAGTTCCGTATCTCTGCACGATCAGTATATCACCTATTTATCACTCTTATTAATCACACGATCATTGACCTTAAAAGTAAAGTTTATCTGACGTCTATCTATCTAATCTAGTCTTTCTAAAAATTTGACGACTTTCTGCAGCTGTTTCAATTTTAAACATTTGCAAAGCCATTTATTTGTTCTCTGTATGTAATTGTCGTGTCAACAATCGTAGCTTCTGCACAGAAGTTCAAATACCTTGCTAGCCTTTATAATATCGCTATCAAATAATATCATCGTGCTAAATGAGTTTTGCAGGGTTATCTCTAATGTTTACACTCTATTGTTTGTGCTTTCATAGGTTAAAAACAGCTTTGAATTCTGCTTAAAGTCGTCAACACGAGTTGTTACACTTGCACAAGCGGCATTCTTTGCGATGATAATTCCAAAAGCGGCCTAATATCGTACTGCATGAAAATACAAAACACATTCAATTTCTCTTGGCGTAAGCAGATAGCAACAGCAAAGCACGCCGGTTGTGCGAGAGCCTTTAATAGAATAATGCACATTTGCGAGTTGTCTATTTTGAATACTTTGCTAATCTACCAAATCGTTGATTTTTTATGAAAATGTTTATCTGCATGGCCGTGTAATGGTCCAGAATGCCATTAATAATGTTGTTGAAATTATATCATTTTATTGGCAGTCGCCCTTGCCTTCAAGTTGTCCTTTATTTATTTTATCTCCCCTGCCTTTCTCTGTGCCCATTGCAGTGTCCCTTTCTCATCACCTATGTCATTGTAAATTTTCGTTTATCAAGCAGCTCTGCTACCCTGGCTGTTTCATCCGTCTAATAATTGTTTTACATTGCCTTCATTGTTTGGTTTCTAATCTTTTCTTGTCTTTGATCGCAGGATGACTGGCCAGAGGGTTACCAGCTAGCTGCTGCCATGAATTTCAAATTCCCACAGATGGTTTGTTTGTTATGTTCAAATTTCATTTCATTTAAAAACATTTGTATACAAGACTCTTGTTACTATGAGTGTTCAGAAGAACAAACAAAAATTGAACGACGCCACGTGATGTTTAAAGATTCCGAATAAAGAAAAGTTTATTCAAAAGTTAAATCGGTCCTGTTTTATTTTGTTACTTAGAAAGTGACTGAGTTGAATGATTCCTTTACTTTAACACCGATATGTGAACATTTGGGTCTTGATTAAAAGAAAACAAAATCTGTACTGTTGTTGTCGATAGAATGTATAATGGATTACAGTACCATAAAAATATGTCTTGATTTAAATGGAAAATCAGAAAAAATCGACTTACTATAGTTTAGTTGTAGGCAAATGACTGATTATGAGGCAATGAAAAAGAACAGATTGTATTCGGTTAGTGAAGTCGGGTATAGACCATTTGTAAAGCAGAGAAGAGCAGATCGCCTTGTGTTTATAAATTTGACAATCTTGATCTTCCCTCCCTCTCTCCCAAATCACTACTCCCATTCCCTTTTAGGGCTATGCTGTAGGGCCCTGCGCCTTTTCCTATATCAACTAAAAAAAGGTTGTCATGTTTGCTTTGTTGTATGCTCGGCTGACCAAATGTTAACAATACTGGATGTTAAAGAAACCATTACTAAATTGTTTTACTAGTTTTTATAAGATGTAATATAGGCATGAATATCGTTTCATCCAGGTATCGACGCCTTTGAAACAGCTGATCCCCAATGCCAGCCCAGAGGCTATACAGATCATACAAGACATGCTGCAATGGGACCCGAAGAAGCGGCCTACAGCCAGCCAGGCCTTGAAATATCCTTACTTTCAAGTGGGACAGAACATCCAACGTGCACGCGTCTCCAAACGTATCTCTGTTGCTGACCGTGCGGATCCAGGAACGCGGTTCGATGCCGCGCGGGAAGTAGAGAATAATAGAACTTATGGACTTGAGAAAAAAGATAGTCAGTTCAGTGTGAAAGATAATGACGACTTCGGTGACTTTGGCTTTAGTGAAAGTCAAGCAAAACAAGTCGGTCTTCAGAGCAAGCATACATTCGAAGCAAAAAAGAAGCAGAGTGTGGCCAGGAAACTGTCAGAGGATCTTGGCGAATTTGACTTCGATGAATTAGACACATCATTTTCGAAATCGCGATTCCCAAGTCTTAAGAAAATGGTAGGTACATTTTTTTCATTAATAGCCTTAAAAACCTGTCCCTTCCACTATCTTTATCGCCGGTCCCTTTCAGTGCTGAAACGTTACGTTGAGATCCGTTTATAGCATACAAAACTCAATGTTCATCGATCTCACGATTTTCAAACCATCTTTGACAAAATGAACTTTTTTGCCATGTTAGGAGTAATTTAAAAAGTTTGAAAGTTTAATCTTCCTACAGTTTTATCATTTCATTTACCAGATCAAATTAGATCATATCAGATCAGAGCATATAAGTTCATATAATACAATTTATTCAGATCATATCAGATCATATCAGATCATATCAGATCAGATCATATCAGATCATATCAGATCATATCAGATCATATCAGATCATATCGTTCAGATATTACATTTTTCCAGTTCATATCAGATGTCATATATTATTTTTTTATATTATATTTTAAATCCGAATATAAGTATGTTTTTGGTTTTTTTTCTTCAGATGATATTATATTGACTCCTATCTCCATATTTCATTTTATAGTTAACTTTGAAATTATGATTTTCGTATAATTTGAATGTAAAAAGTGAGAGATTTTTCATCTGTGATATTTCAGCACCCGATTTCAAAGCAACCAACCCTAGATGTTTTCCAGTAAGTATTTTCCTTCTCTTTTAAGTTCGCTGATTTCTACTCTCCTCCTGTTTTAGTTCAAGTAATGTTGCAAAATTTCGCAAGTGATATGTTCGCATCAAGTGTAGCTACGAAGACACACAGAGCAACAATGAAGGAGAACTTCAATAAGTTTAAAAGACGCCTTATGCCTTTTCAGGGCAATAAAACTCATATATTTCAAGTTGAAGAGTTTGTTATACTTCTAGAATAAATTCTTGTAAAGAAAACTATTTTTCATAGTTATAATTAATGCGTATAACGCTAATAATTTGATGTAAATATGTTTTTAAATTGAATTTTTTTAAATAAATTGTCTTAAAATTAGAAATAACAAAAATATATGATTTTAAAAATATTGTCTTTACTTCACTTCTATTTTTGTTTCTGGTATTTGTTCTTTAAGAAAATAGCATATTATGTGCTCTAGCTTTTCATACTATTATCTTCATTCATCAATTTGTTTTTAATGGTTTTTTATTTTAATTAGCTTTGGCTATAGAAAATGTAGCTTTATTGCTCGCATCTAAGGGCAACTTAATCCTTAACAGTAGATTTATTTAGAACTAAAAGGTCAGGAAATAGTTCGATAAATTTATTCTAAATTAATCATATTGACAACTTTCTCGCTGATTTAAACTAAGTAGGATGAATAGAGCAATTTTTTGCCTTTTATTTCAAGTCTGATTTTGAATTTTCACTATGACGGCATTTTGTCTATATTGATCAGAGGGAAAGAAAGTCAAGAGAAGTCGACACTGCCAAACCTCGCAATGAGGAAGGAGAACACTTCAAGGAAGACTCCAGGCTCAGCTAAGCAGCATTACTTGCAGCGATCTCGTTACTATCCTGGTGCACCAACACGAGACCTATCAAACATGGGTATCGAAGGAAAGGTGTACGATTTGGGATCCGGTAAAAAAGTTGTTGAATTAACTTCAGGAAGCGTTAAAGGCTCTGCTAGGGGTGCCTATGTACCCTCGTTTGAAGAAAAGAAAAAGCCAGTTGGTATTGTAGGTATGTGAATCCGCTTTTCATTCAGTTTTTTATGATTTACGCCATGTTTCGATCAGTGTGCCGTTCATTGAAGTTGGCTTGGGGAATCCGGAATTAAGAGCGGCCTCAGCTGCTTCCTATTCAATACCATTCTCCTAACTCCGGCAACGCAACATAGTTTGGACGTTAGTTGGGGCCTACACCCATTTGCTTTCGGAAGTTCTGTTACTCTTATTTTCACTTTTTAAAATGCGGTTCTCTGCTATGTCTTATTGTTCTCAAAGAACCATTCTAAACTATTTTCAAGTCTTTTATTGTATAGCGTACATTTCGTCTTAAATTCTATTGACCCAACTTAACTTGGTTTTTCACCTTCATTTTCACAATCAGAAATTTATACTGTTTTATTTTTCGTCAATATTTTTCCTGTCTAATCTTACAGTATACCAATATTCTATTTCGATATTCGTGTAACTCGGGGTTATTGTTTACTTCAATCCATTTAAATACGAGCAATTGCAAGCAAGTTATTTATTCAATTTTCCCTTCTTGATTTCTTCTAAAACTTAAATGTAATAAACTAATAATAAACTAAAATTAAAATAAATTAAATTTAACGAGTACCAATATTTCGCCCCGGCAAACAGGGTTTCATCAAAGTAAGAAAGCATACTCGTCCATTTGCTTTTGTTTTTGTCGTCTGTTGCGTTACGTTAAGAAATTTCCTAAGAATGCCTTTTTGTGACAATTCCCCACCAGTGAAAATTCATTAAAAGTTTCCCTGGTTCACAGTATCTCCATCTTTGTAATAGGTGCTCCCGCAGCTGCCCCGTCATATCCATCTTGGAAAGCCTCTTCAATAACACAGCGAGGGGTATCTTATCAACCTCCCGCGGCACAACCCGAAAGAACGCGGGTTGGCATACATGGAAGGACTGACTGGACTGCCAAGTAAGTCGTCTAGTTTATAGCATACAAAACATAAACCTTTGCTCATAATTCTCATCCTGTGATTTGAAATGTCTCTGTTATCCTATTAGTAAATGAAACAATGAAATTCAAAATCGCTATTTCAAAACTTTAATATTTTGTTGCCTTGTAGGTACGGTGGAAACAGGTTCTAAAATATCGAGATTGTTTCATATGAAATAAGTCACGTGATGAAAGAAGAGTTTAAAAATTCTAACTTTAGACGTTATTTGTGGCTTTTGTAAATACATGTATCCTTAGAATTATCCAACAAATTTACAGTAGCTGCTCCGCTCTCAAGGGGCAGTATTGTTTTATCGTTTTATTTATAGTGTTTAAATTATAAGATTTGTTATATCTTTTAGCAATATCCAAAAACTATTGCTAGTAGTTTCATTATTTCTTACTGCCTATCATTTTTTAAATTTATACCTACAATGCAAACAAATGCTCAATATAAACAATTTCTACACTTGAAAAACTAAAAATGGAATGCAGCAATCCAGTATCGCGAAGTATAACTGAAATTCCATAAGGACAAATAAAAATAAGAGCTCTAAAACATAGGCCTGATTGAGAATTGGCAAATACTGTGTACATTGAAAAAAAACGCTAGCTTCGGGTATCGATAACGAAGGAGAAACCGTACGAATGAAAAACACCAAAATAGCAGACCAATTTGAAAGATGAATAACCTATTTGCAACAGTGCCTGCACGCAATCTTTCATCGTTTAAAGGTCTAAAGAGCCTATGCTTCCTCCTAAAGATTTTCATCAAACAGTTACCGTTTTCAATACCTGCAGGCTCTAGTTTTTAGAAAAAATTTTACATCATTGCAAATGACTAAAACACCACATTTCTTAACGACCTCAAAAAGTAACTTAATACATATTTTAATCTTCTAAACTCCTTGAAAGGTCAGTTTTGGTGTGCAAAATTTTCATAAAAAGGTGGTCATTTCCTAAGGCTATAGGCTTAGGTTTTTGGTCGAAAATTCATCGCCTCATAAATGAAGAAAACATCAATATATTGGCTATAAAAAAGCACTAAATGAATTAGATAACAATTTTAACTCGCCTAGACTCTTTAAAAGGTCAGTTTTGGTGTGCAAAATTTTCATAAAAAGGTGGTCATTTCCTAAGGCTATAGGCTTAGGTTTTTGGTCGAAAATTCATCGCCTCATAAATGAAGAAAACATCAATATATTGGCTATAAAAAAGCACTAAATGAATTAGATAACAATTTTAACTCGCCTAGACTCCTTAAAAGGTCAGTTTTGGTGTGCAAAATTTTCATAAAAAAGTGGTCATTTCCTAAGGCTATAGGCTTAGGTTTTTGGTCGAAAATTCATCGCCTCATAAATAAAGAAAACATCAATATATTGGCTATAAAAAAGCACTAAATGAATTAGATAACAATTTTAATTCGCCTAGACTCCTTAAAAGGTCAGTTTTGGTATGCAAAATTTTCATAAAAAATGGTCATTTCCTAAGGCTATAGGCTTAGGTTTTTGGTCGAAAATTGATTGCCTCATAAATGAAGAAAACATCAATATATTGGCTATAAAAAAGCACTAAATGAATTAGATAACAATTTTAACTCGCCTAGACTCTTTAAAAGGTCAGTTTTGGTGTGCAAAATTTTCATAAAAAGGTGGTCATTTCCTAAGGCTATAGGCTTAGGTTTTTGGTCGAAAATTCATCGCCTCATAAATAAAGAAAACATCAATATATTGGCTATAAAAGAGCATTAAATTAATTAGATTACAATTTTAACTCGGTTAGACTCTTTAAAAGGTCAGTTTTGGTGTGCAAAATTTTCATAAAAAAGTGGTCATTTCCTAAGGCTATAGGCTTAGGTTTTTGGTTGAAAATTGATCGCCTCATAAATAAAGAAAACATCAATATATTGGCTATAAAAGAGCATTAAATTAATTAGATTACAATTTTAACTGGGTTAGACTCTTTAAAAGGTCAGTTTTGGTGTGCAAAATTTTCATAAAAAGGTGGTCATTTCCTAAGGCTATAGGCTTAGGTTTTTGGTCGAAAATTCATCGCCTCATAAATGAAGAAAACATCAATATATTGGCTATAAAAAAGCACTAAATGAATTAGATAACAATTTTAACTCGCCTAGACTCCTTAAAAGGTCAGTTTTGGTGTGCAAAATTTTCATAAAAAGTGGTCATTTCCTAAGGCTATAGGCTTAGGTTTTTGGTCGAAAATTGATTGCCTCATAAATGAAGAAAACATCAATATATTGGCTATAAAAAAGCACTAAATGAATTAGATAACAATTTTAACTCGCCTAGACTCTTTAAAAGGTCAGTTTTGGTGTGCAAAATTTTCATAAAAAGGTGGTCATTTCCTAAGGCTATAGGCTTAGGTTTTTGGTCGAAAATTCATCGCCTCATAAATAAAGAAAACATCAATATATTGGCTATAAAAGAGCATTAAATTAATTAGATTACAATTTTAACTCGGTTAGACTCTTTAAAAGGTCAGTTTTGGTGTGCAAAATTTTCATAAAAAAGTGGTCATTTCCTAAGGCTATAGGCTTAGGTTTTTGGTTGAAAATTGATCGCCTCATAAATAAAGAAAACATCAATATATTGGCTATAAAAGAGCATTAAATTAATTAGATTACAATTTTAACTGGGTTAGACTCTTTAAAAGGTCAGTTTTGGTGTGCAAAATTTTCATAAAAAGGTGGTCATTTCCTAAGGCTATAGGCTTAGGTTTTTGGTCGAAAATTCATCGCCTCATAAATGAAGAAAACATCAATATATTGGCTATAAAAAAGCACTAAATGAATTAGATAACAATTTTAACTCGCCTAGACTCCTTAAAAGGTCAGTTTTGGTGTGCAAAATTTTCATAAAAAGGTTGCGTCTTTCCTAAGGGCATATAGGTTAGGTTTTCAGTCGAAAATTGATCGCCGCATAAATGAAGAAAACATCAATATATTGGCTATAAAAGAGCAGTAAATTAATTAGATCACAATTTTAATTCGCCTAGACTCCTTAAAAGGTCAGTTTTGGTGTGCAAAATTTTCATAAAAAAGTAGTCATTTCCTAAGGCTATAGGCTTAGGTTTTTGGTCGAAAATTGATTGCGTCATAAATGAATAAAACATCAATATATTGGTTATAAAAGAGCAGTAAATTAATTAGATTACAATTTTAACTCGCCTAGACTCCTTAAAAGGTCAGTTTTGGTGTGCAAATTTTTCGTAAAAAAGTGGTCATTTCCTAAGGCTATAGGCTTAGGTTTTCAGTCGAAAATTGATCGCCGCATAAATGAAGAAAACATCAATATATTGGCTATAAAAGAGCAGTAAATTAATTAGATCACAATTTTAATTCTCCTAGACTCCTTAAAAGGTCAGTTTTGGTGTGCAAAATTTTCATAAAAAAGTGGTCATTTCTTAAGGCCGTAGGCTTAGGTTTTTGGTTGAAAATTGATCGCCTCATAAATGAATAAAACATCAATATATTGGCTATAAAAGAGCAGTAAATTAATTAGATTACAATTCTAACTCCCCCAGACTCCATAAAAGGTCAGTTTTGGTGTGCAAAATTTTCATAAAAAAGTGGTCATTTCCTAAGGCTATAGGCTTAGGTTTTTGGTCGAAAATTGATTGCGTCATAAATGAATAAAACATCAATATATTGGCTATAAAAGAGCAGTAAATTAATAAGATTACAATTTTAACTCGCCTAGACTCCTTAAAAGGTCAGTTTTGGTGTGCAAATTTTTCATAAAAAAGTGGTCATTTCCTAAGGCTATAGGCTTAGGTTTTTGGTCGAAAATTCATCGCCTCATAAATGAAGAAAACATCAATATATTGGCTATAAAAGAGCAGTAAATTAATTAGATCACAATTTTAATTCGCCTAGACTCCTTAAAAGGTCAGTTTTGGTGTGCAAAATTTTCATAAAAAAGTGGTCATTTCCTTAGGCTATAGGCTTAGGTTTTCGGTCGAAAATTGATCGCCGCATAAATGAAGAAAACATCAATATATTGGCTATAAAAGAGCAGTAAATTAATTAGATCACAATTTTAATTCGCCTAGACTCCTTAAAAGGTCAGTTTTGGTGTGCAAAATTTTCATAAAAAGGTGGTCATTTCCTAAGGCTATAGGCTTAGGTTTTTGGTTGAAAATTGATCGCCTCATAAATGAATAAAACATCAATAGATTGGCGATAAAAGAGCAGTTAATTAATTAGATTACAATTTTAACTCGCCTAGAATCCTTAAAAGGTCAGTTTTGGTGTGCAAAATTTTCATAAAAAAGTGGTCATTTCCTAAGGCTATAGGCTTAGGTTTTTTGTTGAAAATTGATCGCCTCATCAATGAAGAATGCATCAATATATTGGCTATAAAAGAGCACTAAATTAATTAGATCACAATTTTAATTCGCCTAGACTCCTTAAAAGATTAGTATTGGTGTGCAAAATTTTCATAAAAAAGTAGTCATTTCCTAAGGCTATAGGCTTAGGTTTTTGGTTGAAAATTGATCGCCTCATAGAAAACATCAATATATTGGCTATAAAAGAGCAGTAAATTAATTAGATCACAATTTTAATTCGCCTAGACTCCTTAAAAGATTAGTATTGGTGTGCAAAATTTTCATAAAAAAGTGGTCATTTCCTAAGGCTATAGGCTTAGGTTTTTTGTTGAAAATTGATCGCCTCATCAATGAAGAAAGCATCAATATATTGGCTATAAAAGAGCACTAAATTAATTAGATCACAATTTTAATTCGCCTAGACTCCTTAAAAGATTAGTATTGGTGTGCAAAATTTTCATAAAAAAGTAGTCATTTCCTAAGGCTATAGGCTTAGGTTTTTGGTTGAAAATTGATCGCCTCATAAATGAAGAAAACAACAATATATTGGCTATAAAAGAGCAGTAAATTAATTAGATCACAATTTTAATTCGCCTAGACTCCTTAAAAGATTAGTATTGGTGTGCAAAATTTTCATAAAAAAGTAGTCATTTCCTAAGGCTATAGGCTTAGGTTTTTGGTTGAAAATTGATCGCCTCATAAATGAAAAAAACATCAATATATTGGCTATAAAAGAGCAGTAATTTAATTAGATCACAATTTTAATTCGCCTAGACTCCTTAAAAGATTAGTATTGGTGTGCAAAATTTTCATAAAAAAGTGGTCATTTCCTAAGGCTATAGGCTTAGGTTTTTTGTTGAAAATTGATCGCCTCATCAATGAAGAAAGCATCAATATATTGGCTATAAAAGAGCACTAAATTAATTAGATCACAATTTTAATTCGCCTAGACTCCTTAAAAGATTAGTATTGGTGTGCAAAATTTTCATAAAAAAGTAGTCATTTCCTAAGGCTATAGGCTTAGGTTTTTGGTTGAAAATTGATCGCCTCATAAATGAAGAAAACATCAATATATTGGCTATAAAAGAGCAGTAAATTAATTAGATCACAATTTTAATTCGCCTAGACTCCTTAAAAGATTAGTATTGGTGTGCAAAATTTTCATAAAAAAGTAGTCATTTCCTAAGGCTATAGGCTTAGGTTTTTGGTAAAAAATTGATCGCTTCATAAATGAATAAAACATCAATAGATTGGCTATAAAAGAGCAGTAAATCAATAAGATTACAATTTTAACTCGCCTAGACTCCTTAAATAGTCAGTTTTCGTGTAAAAAATTTTCATAAAAAAGTGGTCTTTTCCTAAGGCTATAGGCTTAGGTTTTTGGTTGAAAATCGATCCTCTCATAAATGAATAAAACATCAAATTATTGGCTAGAAAAGAGTGGTAAATCAATTAGATCACAATTTTAACTCGCCTAGACTCTTTAAATGGTCAGTTTTGGTGTAAAAAATTTTCATAAAAAAGTGGTCATTTCCTAAGGCTATAGGCTTAGGTTTTTGGTGAAAAATTGATCTCCTCATAAATGAAAAAAACATAAATATATTGGCTATAAAAGAGCAGTAAAGTAATTAGACTACAAATTTAACTCGCATAGACTCCTTAAATGGTAAGTTTTGGTGTGCAAATTTTTCATAAAAAAGTGGTCATTTCTTAAGGCTATAGGCTTAGGTTTTTGGTTGAAAATTGATCGCCTCATAAATGAATGAAACATCAATATATTGGCTATAAAAGAGCAGTAAATCAATTAGATTACAATTTTAACTCGCCTAGACTCCTTAAATGGTCAGTTTTGGTGTACAAAATTTTCATAAAAAAGTGGTCATTTCCTAAGGCTATAGGCTTAGGTTTTTGGTTGAAAATTGATCGCCTCATAAATGAAGAAAGCATCAATATATTGGCTATAAAAGAGCAGTAAATTAATTAGATTACAATTCTAACTCCCCTAGACTCCATAAAAGGTCAGTTTTGGTGTGCAAAATTTTCATAAAAAAGTGGTCATTTCCTAAGGCTATAGGCTTAGGTTTTTGGTTGAAAATTGATCGCCTCATAAATGAAGAAAGCATCAATATATTGGCTATAAAAGAGCAGTAAATTAATTAGATTACAATTCTAACTCCCCTAGACTCCATAAAAGGTCAGTTTTGGTGTGCAAAATTTTCATAAAAAAGTAGTCATTTCCTAAGGCTATAGGCTTAGGTTTTTGGTGAAAATTGATCGCCTCATAAATGAATAAAACATCAATATATTGGCTATAAAAGAGCAGTAAATTAATAAGATTACAATTTTAACTCGCCTAGACTCTTTAAAAGGTCAGTTTTGGTGTGCAAAATTTTCATAAAAAAGTGGTCATTTCCTAAGGCTATAGGCTTAGGTTTTTGGTTGAAAATTGATCGCCTCATAAATGAATAAAACATCAATATATTGGCTATAAAAGAGCAGTAAATTAATTAGATTACAATTCTAACTCCCCTAGACTCCTTAAAAGGTCAGTTTTGGTGTGCAAAATTTTCATAAAAAAGTGGTCATTTCCTAAGGCTATAGGCTTAGGTTTTTGGTTGAAAATTGATCGCCTCATAAATGAATAAAACATCAATATATTGGCTATAAAAGAGCAGTAAATTAATTAGATTACAATTTAACTCGCCTAGACTCCTTAAAAGGTCAGTTTTGGTGTGCAAAATTTTCATAAAAAAGTAGTCATTTCCTAAGGCTATAGGCTTAGGTTTTTGGTTGAAAATTGATCGCCTCATAAATGAATAAAACATCAATATATTGGCTATAAAAGAGCAGTAAATTAATTAGATTACAATTTTAACTCGCCTAGACTCCTTAAAAGGTCAGTTTTGGTGTGCAAAATTTTCATTAAAAAGTGGTCATTTCCTAAGGCTTAGGTTTTTGGTGAAAAATTGATCCCCTCATAATTGAATGAAACATCAATATTTTGGCTATAAAAGAGCAGTAAATTAATTAGATTACAATTTTAACTTGCCTAGAATTCTTAAAAGGTTAGTTTTGGTGTGCAAATTTTTCATAAAAAAGTAGTCATTTCCTAAGGCTATAGGCTTAGGTTTTTGGTGAAAAATTGATCGCCTCATAAATGAATAAAACATCAATATATTGGCGATAAAAGAGCAGTTAATTAATTAGATTACAATTTTAACTCGCCTAGAATCCTTAAAAGGTCAGTTTTGGTGTGCAAAATTTTCATAAAAAAGTGGTCATTTCCTAAGGCTATAGGATTAGGTTTTTGGTCGAAAATTGATCGCCTCATAAATGAAGAAAACATCAATATATTGGCTATAAAAGAGCAGTAAATTAATTAGATTACAATTTTAACTCGCCTAGAATCCTTAAAAGGTCAGTTTTGGTGTGCAAAATTTTCATAAAAAAGTGGTCATTTCCTAAGGCTATAGGCTTCGGTTTTTGGTCGAAAATTGATCGCCTCATCAATGAATAAAACATCAATATATTGGCTATAAAAGAGCAGTTAATTAATGAGATTACAATTTTAACTCGCCTAGAATCCTTAAAAGGTCAGTTTTGGTGTGCAAAATTTTCATAAAAAAGTGGTCATTTCCTAAGGCTATAGGCTTAGGTTTTTGGTCGAAAATTGATCGCCTCATAAATGAAGAAAACATCAATATATTGGCTATAAAAGAGCATTAAATTAATTAGATTACAATTTTAACTCGCCTAGAATCCTTAAAAGGTCAGTTTTGGTGTGCAAAATTTTGATAAAAAAAGTGGTCATTTCCTAAGGCTATAGGCTTGGGTTTTTGGTCGAAAATTGATCGCCTCATAAATAAAGAAAACAGCAATATATTGGCTATAAAAGAGCAGTAAATTAATGAGATTACAATTTTAACTCGCCTAGAATCCTTAAAAGGTCAGTTTTGGTGTGCAAAATTTTCATAAAAAAGTGGTCATTTCCTAAGGCTATAGGCTTAGGTTTTTGGTTGAAAATTGATCGCCTCATAAATGAAGAAAGCATCAATATATTGGCTATAAAAGAGCAGTAAATCAATAAGATTACAATATTAACTCGCCTAGACTCTTTAAATGGTCAGTTTTGGTGTGCAAATTTTTCATAAAAAAGTAGTCATTTCCTAAGGCTATAGGCTTAGGTTTTTGGTGAAAAATTGATCGCCTCATAAATGAATAAAACATCAATATATTGGCTATAAAAGAGCAGTAAATTAATTAGATAACAATTTTAACTTGCCTAGACTCCTTAAAAGGTCAGTTTTGGTGTGCAAAATTTTCATTAAAAAGTGGTCATTTCCTAAGGCTTAGGTTTTTGGTGAAAAATTGATCCCCTCATAATTGAATGAAACATCAATATTTTGGCTATAAAAGAGCAGTAAATTAATTAGATAACAATTTTAACTTGCCTAAACTCCTTAAAAGGTCAGTTTTTGTGTGCAAAATTTTCATTAAAAAGTGGTCATTTCCTAAGGCTTAGGTTTTTGGTGAAAAATTGATCCCCTCATAATTGAATGAAACATCAATATTTTGGCTATAAAAGAGCAGTAAATTAATTAGATTACAATTTTAACTTGCCTAGAATTCTTAAAAGGTCAGTTTTGGTGTGCAAATTTTTCATAAAAAAGTAGTCATTTCCTAAGGCTATAGGCTTAGGTTTTTGGTGAAAAATTGATCGCCTCATAAATGAATAAAACATCAATATATTGGCTATAAAAGAGCAGTAAATTAATTAGATAACAATTTTAACTTGCCTAGACTCCTTAAAAGGTCAGTTTTGGTGTGCAAAATTTTCATTAAAAAGTGGTCATTTCCTAAGGCTTAGGTGAAAAATTGATCCCCTCATAATTGAATGAAACATCAATATTTTGGCTATAAAAGAGCAGTAAATTAATTAGATTACAATTTTAACTTGCCTAGAATTCTTAAAAGGTCAGTTTTGGTGTGCAAATTTTTCATAAAAAAGTGGTCATTTCCTAAGGCTATAGGCTTAGGTTTTTGGTTGAAAATTGATCGCCTCATAAATGAATAAAACATCAATATATTGGCTATAAAAGAGCATTAAATTAATTAGATTACAATTTTAACTCGCCTAGAATCTTTAAATGGTCAGTTTTGGTGTGCAAAATTTTCATAAAAAAGTAGTCATTTCCTAAGGCTATAGGCTTAGGTTTTTGGTTGAAAATTGATCGCCTCATAAATGAATAAAACATCAATATATTGGCTATAAAAGAGCAGTAAATTAATTAGATTACAATTTAAACTTGCCTAGAATTCTTAAAAGGTCAGTTTTGGTGTGCAAATTTTTCATAAAAAAGTAGTCATTTCCTAAGGCTATAGGCTTAGGTTTTTGGTTGAAAATTGATCGCCTTATAAATGAATAAAACATCAATATATTGGCTATAAAAGAGCACTAAATTAATTAGATAACAATTTTAACTCGCCTAGAATCCTTAAAAGGTCAGTTTTGGTGTGCAAAATTTTCATAAAAAAGTGGTCATTTCCTAAGGCTATAGGATTAGGTTTTTGGTCGAAAATTGATCGCCTCATAAATGAAGAAAACATCAATATATTGGCTATAAAAGAGCAGTAAATTAATAAGATTACAATTTTAACTCGCCTAGAATCCTTAAAAGGTCAGTTTTGGTGTGCAAAATTTTGATAAAAAAAGTGGTCATTTCCTAAGGCTATAGGCTTAGGTTTTTGGTCGAAAATTGATCCTCTCATAAATGAAGAAAACATCAATATATTGGCTATAAAAGAGCACTTAATTAATTAGATTACAATTTTAACTCGCCTAGAATCCTTAAAAGGTCAGTTTTGGTGTGCAAAATTTTGATAAAAAAAGTGGTCATTTCCTAAGGCTATAGGCTTAGGTTTTTGGTCGAAAATTGATTGCCTCATAAATGAAGAAAAAATCAATATATTGGCTTTAAAAGAGCAGTAAATTAACCAAAATACAATCTTTACTCATCTAGACGCCTTGACACAAAAATATAGTGGGGGTGGTCTGTATCGGATATGAAGGGTATGGTAAAGTATGGTTGGGCACTGTATGCTTTGTATAGAAGGGTATGGTAGATAATGGCATGCTATTTATATAGAATACAAAAATGCTCATTTTTCTTTTGGATAATGGCAAGGGTGCTAAATAGAATACAAAAATATAACGGGGGTGGTTTGTATGATATATAAATGGTATGGCTTTCTCTTACTTGTAATATCTTGTAAACAATCCTCCACAGTACAATTGTGTGATTCATCAAAGCTACATGAGTTATGTTGAATGCTTCATTCAAAGAACTATTCTTCTTAAAAGTGATCCTTGCCTTTTTCTTCACTGTATCCACAATAGATTTGCTCCAAGATTGCCACCACGATCCATCTTAATATTTCTCTGTAGTCTCTTCAGCACTGGCAATGTTGAATTGTTTAACTAAAAATATGTATACATATCTTAATTCCAAGAACACAAGGTTTTGAAAGACGTGCTTTTCAAACAAAAACAAACTAGAAAAATCATCTAGAAAAATCTAGAACCATGATCAAACTAGTTACAAGTTACAAGGCCTTATGGAATTTGGTGGTCAGACCCATCATTCCTATCTCTCTAAGCAACTCACAGATTCCAAGTTCTGACTGTTCAGAATATGCAATCAATGCAAGATCATTTACAAATGTTATCTCCAGTGGAACCAGGCCTGGCCGTTTGAGGCGAGCGATTGCATTTGTACATGATATCCTCCAGTGGAACTTTGTTTCTATCATTTCTTACTCCTATTACTGTTACACCAATGAACAGAAAAGGACTCTACATAAAACCTAAATTCATCTCTGAACACCAATACTAAAGATCATTTCAAAAAGAGTTGTATTTACCAAACATAACATTCATTCATTTATTCATTCGTTCATTTTGCATAAATTTTACTGATAATAAGTAATAACAAAAAACTGTCCAGCAACAGAATTTAGTATAAGCTAATAACAGAAAAATCCATCCAGTTTACAAATGTTGGAAATAAAAGAAAAAAACTTCAAAGGTGCAACATCTGTATTGGTTTTCAGCTAAACAAAATATGTTTTTACTGTTTTTACTTTGCACAACATGTGACAAAATAATTTACACTCTTTTTATACGGACTAATTTCATAAGAAAACACATACCCTCAAAATTGGGCAAAATTGAAAAACCAATTAAGAACAAGCAGAGGCTGAGCTACTTCAGAATGAATTTTGGAACAATGTTTAATCTCAGAAATGAGGATTGTTGTCATCTAGGGGTGCTTTTTTGGTGAATATCCAACTTGATGGCAAATAAGTGATACATCGTTCACTTTGCTTGCAAACAGTGTCTCAACACTTCCCTAGATTGCAGTAGCTAGCAATTTCATTGCTTACATCCTATTAATTTAATAGCAAACTAAGAACAATCCAGCCTCAGATTATCGAGAGAAAAAATAAGAACAGCCAGCGTGAATTTCAATTTACTGGTTCTTTTAAAAAATGAGTACATCTCTGCTAAGTAAGAAGTGGTTTTAATGTTTACAGCTCAGTCCCTAAACAAATCGTATCACAATTTACACTCTTCCCTTTCGAAAATGCAAGCATGAAAACAAGGAAAAACAAGCTTACCGCCAAGCACGATTGCGAAATGAAACTGTACTTTTTGGAAAGTAATCCGCTTCTTAAACGAAGTTTGTCAGAGGCAACACGAGAATAGCATCATAAATTGATAAACAACTCTTACCTTGTCTCTCTCGCAGCCATTTTTATCATCAATGTGGAAATATTCAGGATGATTTACTTCGGCCTACATGGCCAATAATGCGTCATGACCCTGTCATCTGCAGAGCGCCGATAAGCAACTGAACTCAGTGACCAATACAATCAGCCTTGTTGCAAAATGTCGAGTAGCAGTCAACTTTTCTGTAGATGAGAAGTATTTAGTTGATTTCCTTCGAAGTAGATCAATAATAAACCAAGAAGGCTCGCCAATCTGAACGTCCTTGGAAATTAACGACAACAACAGTTTTTTGTCCAGCCTCCTTTTCGGTAAATTCAACACTGAAGGCGCTAAGGCGCTTCTTTGTAATTGACAGTCGAGGGTTCGGGGGCTCGGGAAGATCAGGACATTGACCCCAAAGAGTTTGATAATCCAAAAATAATAAGCTTAACTCTAACTTCGAGACACCCTCGAATAACTCAAAATTCTAGACAATCACACCAGTAAAGAACTTCAACACCCTCTCAAACGGTACCTCTCTCTCGTGTTCTTGGTTCCATTCTGAAAACATTTTTGGGAAATTGTTCAGAAGGAAGAATTGTCCGAAAACTAATTTTTGCAGGGGCGTTATGGCTAGGCGGGACACCGGAAAATTTCCCGGTGGGCCCCTAGCAAGTAAGCTTGTAAAACCCAGGAAAATATTTAATATGAACAAAATCCTTCGTGAGGAAATGCCTCACTTACATATAGACTTAAGTTCACAGTTTATAATTAGAGGAGGACAACATATACTAACAGGCCCTTGTGAAAAAGATGTCTTGAATATGAATATAGTCGCCGAGGGGTAGAGAAGGAGGGGCAAACTGCCCCAGGGCCTCGAGAACTGAATATTAACGAAACGCAACAAGTATGCCTAAAAATTGTCAAACGTGGTAAGCGACTGTAAAAACAGTCTCAACTGTGTTTCAACTAATTTTAAGGGCGTGACCGGACAAATTTTCTGCTCGCTTCCCTCGCAGTGCATTCAGGTGTTTGTTACGTTTGTGTTTGTATCAATTGAACACAATCTTTTGATGGTATAAAACTTGAAAATAGCTTTGAAAAAAGCAAACATTTGATAAAACTTTACAATGAAGGATAGAATAAAACAACATATTCTGTCTAGTATTAGAAACAAAACTCATCCCCAAAGAGAACACCAACCTCGGTCTTGCAGATCTAAAACTAAACATGCGATTCTGCTATTGGGCAGCATTTATTGGGAAACCAAGATTGTGATCTCGTTACTGATTGGCCTACTTAGATCCACAACTGGGGTTCTCAATTACTTTAAATACCGGGCAAGAAAAACAGATATATTTTCTTGTGTAGGCTGTTCAAAAAGAAAATCAGATCTCATTTTCACCAGGGTAAGTTAGTGGTAAGATAGACAGGCCCTTTATTTCGTGCCTGCCTATCTCATCTACCTTCGCATAAATCCAAAAGAAATTTTTCACAAAGGTTTGTAACTTTATGTTTCGTATACCAGGCTGAGTCAGAAGATCCTTCTATGCTATTTTTAGGCTAGAACGTTAATCTTTGTTAGTCTCTTGTTGAGCCGATTTGAAGCGCTTGAAGTCAGGTCGAGGGACTGCAAAGCGTATTTTAAAGAAAGGCCAAATCTTATGTTAGTTGATGCATTTAGTCAAGGCCGTATGTTTGACCAGATCTTTGTGGCTTACTATGATTTGATCGATAAGAGTGCTTGACGTCGATGTTGTTCTCGCTGGCTTTGAAACAATCTGATGCATGTTGTATTGTTCCAGTAAGCCTAAATACTTTTTGCTATCAGCTTTATCTGGTGAGAGAAGATCGATATTTGTGTCTCCAGTTATCATTACAGCACCATCCCAACTTGCTTTCACATATGATATCACTTTGTCAAGTTGTTCTAACCAATTGTTGAATCTTAAGATTTTATCTGATCGAAAGATGACTCCCATCAATAATTTCGAGTTCTTATTTTTTCCAGCTAACTCAATCCATAGATGTTCTAAATCCTGCCCTTCGCTTTCAATATTTTTCCTTCTTTTGTACTTTATCCCGGAATTTACGTAGCACCCTACACCGCCACCTCGTATGTTGTCTCTGTTGTTATACTCTATTTCAAAATTTTTTGGACACAAGCGGTTGGGTGTTCAAGTGTAAGACTTTTAGTAATGATCGTTTTTCGCTGATGATCTTTAAGAACCCGTTTACACGAGAGCGGATCCGAACTGGATCGGATCCAAAAGAGTACGGATAGGCCTTGCATTTACACAGGAACTGGTGGATCCGTATACTTTTGGATCCGCTATTCGAACACTTCTGGGATCGCTTTCAGAGGTGATCCCGTATGGATCCGATCTTGACCGGATCCTGTGTAAACGGGTGGATCTGGTCTAGATCGGATCTGTCTACGTTATTTGTCGTAGACAGATCCGATCTAGACCAGATCCACGCGAAAGTATGACAGAATATTTCTCAATTCAAGGTAGTTCGAATATGTAATCCGTGGCTTTTTGTCGCCAGAAAACCGAACATCAAGTTGATAGACTACTGTGTTGAAGAATTATTACGAAACTTTGACGATATGTCGTCGTACTTTGTCCTTATATTTTCCCAATCCTGCCCATCTGCAAGCTTTGCAGTTTTGTAGTCTAATACTACTTTTAAAAGTAGCGCGGCTTAAAAGTAAAATGTTACGTAATTATCCATCTAGCCGGCCTGTTACGAAAAGTGTTTCACCCAACCCAAAATTTTAGATAGACGCCCCTGGATTAGAATAAATAACATTTGAATTTTTTTCTGGAATAAAAATAATTTTCATAAGAAAATAAGGATTTTCTAGAACTGCCAATTTTTGTCAAAAGGTAGCGCTGCAAGCTTAGAAAAATGGGTTTTTCTTATAAACCTGTCGATTAAACCTTTTCTTTAAACCAATTCGTTTCGAGATGATCACAATAACAAGAAATGAATTGAATTCTGGAAAAAAGTCACTTTTTATTGAAAAATTCCGGAATTGTAGTTGCGAGAAACGTTAAACCGAATTGTGATAAAAGATCACTTCAAGACAAAAGGTCAATTTTTCATAAATTTTTTCATGTTGAATTCTGTCAAATTACTTCTGGATTGTCTTCAATAATTCAATTTAGATCCGTAATGAAAGTGACGGGTCACTTTTTGCTAAAAAGCAAACGCTAAAGGCTGAGAAATGAAGTGAAATATTTCCAAAAAACCTTTAATTAATTGGTTTTTTTAAATTGCGCGAAATAGCGAAAACATAGCATACTAAAAAGTGTCTAAAAATATGTAAATTCCTTTTTCAAAATTAGCATTAAATAGCAGAACTATAGCATACTTAAGTGCTTTTCGTCCGACATTCTGCACAGTATAAACGTCGGATGATGACCGAAAATAAGCTGAAAATTTATATCCAGATGTGGATCGAAAGAAAACGTGAAAGGAAGAAAGATGCGTTGCTTGGCTCTTCTGTTTACTATCAACCAGCCACCGCTAGCCTCAGGGGCTGAATAACACAATACTTGATTCACGGATTATCATCGACTTGTTACTCTTTGCTCTGGTTGAAATTTCTTTGTATTTGGTAGGCAGTTTAAGAAACCTGATAATAAAAAGCCTCTAGAAATTTCATTGTAATGTAGACAAGAGTTGTAATGGGGAGTAAAATCGTCAATCCATAAAATAATTGGATAATAGCTAAACAATTAAAAAATGACCCCAATTATTGGTACTAAGACTTTTTCTTATAACAAACTATTTCGTTTAGGTATAAACTAAAATTTTTCATTTTCAACAACTCAAATTCTTCATTATGCGCACCACTCATTCCCTGATCATGATTTTGTAAATGAAATTGATTTAGACTATAAAAGGCTAGAGCTCTGTTTTTAACTTGACCAACATCTTGAATGGGATTTCTACACGTTCAACGTTTCTCAAATATCCAATGATAAAGCCAAACTTTCTAACAGGAAATTGGGTAGGGGCCATGCCTCATCCCTCATAACCTCCGTCACAGGATACCAACCGTTTTCTGTCATGAATGTAGCCAGCTTTTCAACGACGACTCAGCTAAGCATTTATTGGTACGATCCAAGCCTTCGGCATTTCTTGGAAAATTACATACTAACTTTCCCCAACCAAAAGTCTTCCTTCCAATACTGGTGCTGTGCATCTATAGGCAGCATCATAAAGCACAAATCCCTAAATCAAAAAGAGATAATTACTTCAAGTCAATTAATTGCTACATACAGTTAGTGATCAAAAGTATTGCACAAGTTTGACAAATCAGTAATAGCGGCCGCCTTTTATCAACAAATCGCAATTCAAACCACTTTTATGAAGAAATTAGAAGTCTTTTTATGGGTAAAATCCAATCACGCCAAACTTTAAACCATTGGCAACACTTTTAATTTAAAAATTGAGAAAGTCACTTTTTTAAAAGTAAAAAATTTAAACTTTCTATTGGACAGTCGGGCAGCATTGAGACCTTTGTGAGACCTACTAGAAGCTTGTCAAAAGGTTTTCTAACAGGTTCTACTAATCGCGAAATGATAGGTTTAAATACGTCCACAACACCATTTGTGGAGTTTACGATGAATTTCAGGCCCGTAACTCTCAAAAAAGAAGTAAGTCTTTTTTCAAAAAATCCATGATCCCGGATATGCAAAATAACTAAAAAAAATGTGAATTTTCGAAAAAAATTATTTTGGCTCGAAACAACCTAAAAAGCTTTAAATTACGTCCGCAACACTATTTGCGGAGTTTCCGATGAATTTCAGGCTCGAAACTCTCAAAAAAGAACGTAGTAATTTTTTTAAAAATCCATGACCCCCGGATATGCCAAAAAACTCAAAAAATTGTGAATTTGCGAAAAACTTTATTTTGGCTCAAATCAACCTAAAAAGCTTTAAAATACGTCCAAAACACCATTTGTGGAGTTTCCGATGAATTTCAGGCCCGTAACTCTCAAAAAAGAAGTAAGTCTTTTTTCAAAAAATCCATGATCCCGGATATGCAAAATAGCTCAAAAAATTGTGAATTTTCGAAAAAAAATTATTTTGGCTCGAAACAACCTAAAAAGCTTTAGAATACGTCCGCAACACCATTTGTGGAGTTTCTGATAAATTTCAGGCCCGAAACTCTCAAAAAAGAAGTTAGTCATTTTTCAAAAAATCCATGATCCCGGATATGCAAAAAACTCAAAAAATTGTGAAATTTCGAAATAATTTATTTTAGCTCGAAACAACCTAAAGAGCTTTAAAATACCTCCGCAACACCATTTGTGGAGTTTCCGATGAATTTCAGGCCCAAAACTCTGAAAAAAGAAGTAAGTCTTTTTTCAAAAAATCCATGATCCCGGATATGCAAAATAACTCAAAAAATTGTGAATTTTCGAAAAAAAATATTTTGGCTCGAAACAACCTAAAAAGCTTTAAATTACGTCCGCAACACTATTTGCGGAGTTTCCGATGAATTTCAGGCTCGAAACTCTCAAAAAAGAAAGTAGTAATTTTTTTAAAAATCCATGACCCCCGGATATGCAAAATAACTCAAAAAATTGTGAATTTGCGAAAAACATTATTTTGGCTCAAAACAAATAAAAAGCTTTAAAATACGTCCAAAACACCATTTGTGGAGTTTCCGATGAATTTCAGGCCCAAAACTCTCAAAAAAGAAGTAAGTCTTTTTTCAAAAAATCCATGATCCCGGAAATGTAAAATAACTCAAAAAATTGTGAATTATCGAAAAAAATTATTTTGGCTCGAAACAACCTAAAAAGCTTTAAATTACGTCCGCAACACTATTTTCGGAGTTGCCGATGAATTTCAGGCTTGTAACTCTCAAAAAAGAACGTAGTCATTTTTCAAAAAATCCATGACCCCGGATATGCAAAAAAACTCAAAAAATTGTGAATTTGCGAAAAACTTTATTTTGGCTCAAAACAACCTGAAAAGCTTTAAAATACGTCCAAAACACCATTTGTGGAGTTTCCGATGAATTTCAGGCCCGAAACTCTTAAAAAAGAACTTAGTCATTTTTAAAAAAAACCATGATCCTGTATAAGCACAAAAAGAATTGTCAATTTTCAGCAAAAAACTTTTTTACTCAAAAGAATTAGAAATGCTTACAAATACCTTTGTTTGATCATTTCATGACTTTTCAGTGGCCTTCCAAGTAACGTCTGAAAGAAAAAGGTTATGCGAAGATTAAACATTTTTTATCTTTCCAAAAACATAAAATACTAAAGTTTTAAACAACGAATTTTTCCTTCGAAACAACCTAAATTAACACAATTAACGTTCGCAACAACAAACTTCAAGGCCCATATTTCTCAAAAAAGAACTTAGTTATTTTTCAAAAAATCCATGCAAAAAGATTCAAGAAATGAGAAATTTATACCAAAATTTTTTTTGGCTCAAAAAAACTTAAAACGATTTAAAAAACGTCCGCAATACCATTGGTGGAGTTTCCGATGAATTTCAGGCCCGAAACTCTCAAAAAAGAAGTCAGTCATTTCTCAAAAAATCCATGATCCCGGATATGCAAAAAAACTCAAAAAATTGTGAATTTTCGAAACAATTCATTTTGGCTCGAAACAACCTAAAGAGCTTTAAAATACCTCCGAAACACCATTTGTGGAGTTTCCGATGAATTTCAGGCCCGAAACTCTCAAAAAAGAGGTCAGTCATTTCTCAAAAAATCCATGATCCCGGATATGCAAAGAAACTCAAAAAATTGTGAATTTTCGAAACAATTCATTTTGGCTCGAAACAACCTAAAGAGCTTTAAAATACCTCCGAAACACCATTTGTGGAGTTTCCGATGAATTTCAGGCCCAAAACTCTCAAAAAAGAAGTTAGTCATTTTTCAAAAAATCCATGATCCCGGATATGCAAAAAAACTCAAAAAATTGTGAACTTTCGAAAAAATTTATTTTAGCTCGAAACAACCTAAAGAGCTTTAAAATACCTCCGCAACACAATTTGTGGAGTTTCCGATGAATTTCAGGCTTGTAACTCTCAAAAAAGAACGTAGTCATTTTTCAAAAAATCCATTATCCCAGATATGCAAAAAAACTCAAAAAATTGTGAATTTGCGAAAAACTTTATTTTGGCTCAAAAGAACCTGAAAAGCTTTAAAATACGTCCAAAACACCATTTGTGGAGTTTCCGATGAATTTCAGGCCCGAAACTCTTAAAAAAGAACTTAGTCATTTTTAAAAAAAACCATGATCCTGTATAAGCACAAAAAGAATTGTCAATTTTCAGCAAAAAACTTTTTTACTCAAAAGAATTAGAAATGCTTACAAATACCTTTGTTTGATCATTTCATGACTTTTCAGTGGCCTTCCAAGTAACGTCTGAAAGAAAAAGGTTATGCGAAGATTAAACATTTTTTATCTTTCCAAAAACATAAAATACTAAAGTTTTAAACAACGAATTTTTCCTTCGAAACAACCTAAATTAACACAATTAACGTTCGCAACAACAAACTTCAAGGCCCATATTTCTCAAAAAAGAACTTAGTTATTTTTCAAAAAATCCATGCAAAAAGATTCAAGAAATGAGAAATTTATACCAAAATTTTTTTTGGCTCAAAGAAACTTAAAACGATTTAAAAAACGTCCGCAATACCATTGGTGGAGTTTCCGATGAATTTCAGGCCCGAAACTCTCAAAAAAGAAGTCAGTCATTTTTCAAAAAATCCATGATCCCGGATATGCAAAAAAACTAAAAAAATTGTGAACTTTCGAAAAAATTTATTTTAGCTCGAAACAACCTAAAGAGCTTTAAAATACCTCCGCAACACAATTTGTGGAGTTTCCGATGAATTTCAGGCTTGTAACTCTCAAAAAAGAACGTAGTCATTTTTCAAAAAATCCATTATCCCAGATATGCAAAAAATCAGAAAAAATTAGAAATTTATACAAAAATTTTGTTTTGCTCGAAACAACCTAAAAAGCTTTAAAATACGTCCGCAACACCACTTGTGGAGTTTCCAATGAATTTCAGGACCAAAACTCTCAAAAAAAAATTAGTCATTTTCCAAAAAATCCATGATCCAGGATATGCAAAAAAACTCAAAGAACTGTGAATTTTACAAAATAAAAATTTATTTTAGCTCGAAACAACCTAAAGAGCTTTAAAATACCTCCGTAACACCATTTGTGGAGTTTCCGATGAATTTTAGGACCAGAACTCTCAAAAAAGAATTTAGTCATTTTTCAAAAAATCCATGATTCCGGATATGCAAAAAAACTCAAAAAATGAGAAATTTATACAAAAACTGTTTTTGGCTCGAAACAACCTATAAAGCTTTAAAATAAGTCCGCAACACTATTTGCGGAGTTTCCGATGAATTTCAGGCTCGAAACTCTCAAAAAAGAACGTAGTAATTTTTTTAAAAATCCATGACCCCCGGATATGCAAAAAAACTCAAAAAATTGTGAATTTGCGAAAAACTTTATTTTGGCTCAAAACAACCTAAAAAGCTTTAAAATACGTCCAAAACACCATTTGTGGAGTTTCCGATGAATTTAAGGCCCAAAACTCTGAAAAAAGAAGTAAGTCTTTTTTCAAAAAATCCATGATCCCGGATATGCAAAATAACTCAAAAAATTGTGAATTTTCGAAAAAAAATATTTTGGCTCGAAACAACCTAAAAAGCTTTAAATTACGTCCGCAACACTATTTGCGGAGTTTCCGATGAATTTCAGGCTCGAAACTCTCAAAAAAGAAAGTAGTAATTTTTTTAAAAATCCATCACCCCCGGATATGCAAAATAACTCAAAAAATGAGAAATTTATACAAAAATTTTGTTTTGCTCGAAACAACCTAAAAAGCTTTGAAATACGTCCGCAACACCACTTGTGGAGTTTCCAATGAATTTCAGGACCAAAACTCTCAAAAAAAAAGTTAGTCATTTTCCAAAAAATGCATGATCCAGGATATGCAAAAAAACTCAAAGAACTGTGAATTTTACAAAAAAAAATTATTTTAGCTCGAAACAACCTAAAGAGCTTTAAAATACCTCCGTAACACCATTTGTGGAGTTTCCGATGAATTTCAGGACCAGAACTCTCAAAAAAGAATTTAGTCATTTTTCAAAAAATCCATGATCCCGGATATGCAAAAAAACTCAAAAAATGAGAAATTTATACAAAAGTTTTTTTGTCTCGAAACAACCTAAAAAGCTTTAAAATACGTCCGCAACACCATTTGGAAGTTCCTGATAAACTTCAGTCCGGAAACTCCCAAAAAAGAATTTAGTCATTTTTTAAAAATCCATGACCCCGGATATGCTAAAAAATTCGAATAATGAGTAATTTATACAAACATTTTTTTTGGCTCGAAACAACCTAAAAAGCTTTAAAATACGTCCGCAACACCATTTGTGGAGTTTCCAATGAATTTCAGGCCCGAAACTCTTAGAAAAGAAGTTAGTCATTTTTCAAAAATTCCATGACCCCGGATATGCTAAAAAATTCGAATAATGAGTAATTTATGCAAACAATTTTTTTTGGCTCGAAACAAACTAAAAAGCGTTAAAATAAGTCCGCAACACCAATTGTGGAGTTTCCAATGAATTTCAGGCTTGTAATTCTCAAAAAAGAACCTTGGCCTTTTTTCCAAAAAATCCATGATCCCGGATATGCAAAAAAACTCAAAAAATGAGAAATTTATACAAAAACTTTTTTTGGCTCAAAACAACCTAAAAAGCTTTAAAATACGTCCGCAACACCATTTGTGGAGTTTCCGATGAATTTCAGGCTCGAAACTCTCAAAAAAGAACGTAGTAATTTTTTTAAAAATCCATGACCCCCGGATATGCAAAAAAACTAAAAAAATTGTGAATTTGCCAAAAACTTTATTTTGGCTCAAAACAACCTAAAAAGCTTTAAAATACGTCCAAAACACCATTTGTGGAGTTTCCGATGAATTTCAGGCCCAAAACTCTGAAAAAAGAAGTAAGTCTTTTTTCAAAAAATCCATGATCCCGGATAAGCAAAATAACTCAAAAAATTGTGAATTTTCGAAAAAAAATATTTTGGCTCGAAACAACCTAAAAAGCTTTAAATTACGTCCGCAACACTATTTGCGGAGTTTCCGATTAATTTCAGGCTCGAAACTTTCAAAAAAGAAAGTAGTAATTTTTTTAAAAATCCATGACCCCCGGATATGCAAAATAACTCAAAAAATTGTGAATTTGCGAAAAAATTTATTTTGGCTCAAAACAAATAAAAGCTTTAAAATACGTCCAAAACACCATTTGTGGAGTTTCCGATGAATTTCAGGCCCAAAACTCTGAAAAAAGAAGTAAGTCTTTTTTCAAAAAATCCATGATCCCGGAAATGTAAAATAATTCAAAAAATTGTGAATTATCGAAAAAAATTATTTTGGCTCGAAACAACCTAAAAAGCTTTAAATTACGTCGGCAACACTATTTTCGGAGTTGCCGATGAATTTCAGGCTTGTAACTCTCAAAAAAGAACGTAGTCATTTTTAAAAAAATCCATGAACCCGGATATGCAAAAAAACTCAAAAAATTGTGAATTTGCGAAAAACTTTATTGTGGCTAAAAACAACCTAAAAAGCTTTAAAATACGTCCAAAACACCATTTGTGGAGTTTCCGATGAATTTCAGGCCCAAAACTCTGAAAAAAGAAGTAAGTCTTTTTTCAAAAAATCCATGATCCCGGATATGCAAAATAACTCAAAAAATTGTGAATTTTCGAAAAAAAATATTTTGGCTCGAAACAACCTAAAAAGCTTTAAATTACGTCCGCAACACTATTTGCGGAGTTTCCGATGAATTTCAGGCCCAAAACTCTCAAAAAAGAAGTTAGTCATTTTTTAAAAATCCATGACCCAGGATATGCTAAAAAATTCGAATAATGAGTAATTTATACAAAAATTTTTTTTGGCTCGAAACAACCTAAAAAGCTTTAAAATACGTCCGCAACACCATTTGTGGAGTTTCCAATGAATTTCAGGCCCGAAACTCTTAGAAAAGAAGTTAGTCATTTTTCAAAAATTCCATGACCCCGGATATGCTAAAAAATTCGAATAATGAGTAATTTATACAAAAAATTTTTTTTGGCTCGAAACAAACTAAAAAGCGTTAAAATAAGTCCGCAACACCAATTGTGGAGTTTCCAATGAATTTCAGGCTTGTAATTCTCAAAAAAGAACCTTGGCCTTTTTTCCAAAAAATCCATGATCCCGGATATGCAAAAAAACTCAAAAAATGAGAAATTTATACAAAAACTTTTTGTCTCGAAACAACCTAAAAAGCTTTAAAATACGTCCGCAACACCATTTGGAAGTTCCTGATGAACTTCAGTCCGGAAACTCCCAAAAAAGAATTTAGTCATTTTTTAAAAATCCATGACCCCGGATATGCTAAAAAATTCGAATAATGAGTAGTTTATACAAAAAATTTTTTTTGGCTCGAAACAAACTAAAAAGCGTTAAAATAAGTCCGCAACACCAATTGTGGAGTTTCCAATGAATTTCAGGCTTGTAATTCTCAAAAAAGAACCTTGGCCTTTTTTCAAAAAAATCCATGATCCCGGATATGCAAAAAAACTCAAAAAATGAGAAATTTATACAAAAACTTTTTTTGGCTCAAAACAACCTAAAAAGCTTTAAAATACGTACGCAACACCATTTGTGGAGTTTCCGATGAATTTCAGGCTCAAAACTCTCACAAAGGAAGTTAGTCATTTTTCAAAAAATCCATGATCCCGGATATGCAAAAAAACTAAAAAAATTGTGAATTTGCCAAAAACTTTATTTTGGCTCAAAACAACCTAAAAAGCTTTAAAATACGTCCAAAACACCATTTGTGGAGTTTCCGATGAATTTCAGGCCCAAAACTCTGAAAAAAGAAGTAAGTCTTTTTTCAAAAAATCCATGATCCCGGAAATGCAAAATAACTCAAAAAATTGTGAATTATCGAAAAACTTTATTTTGGCTCAAAACAACCTAAAAAGCTTTAAAATACGTCCAAAACACCATTTGTGGAGTTGCCGATGAATTTCAGGCCCAAAACTCTCAAAAAAAAGTTAGTCATTTTTCAAAAAATCCATGATCCCGGATATGCAAAAAACTCAAAAAATTGTGAAATTTCGAAACAATTTATTTTAGCTCGAAACAACCTAAAGAGCTTTAAAATACCTCCGCAACACCATTTGTGGAGTTTCCGATGAATTTCAGGCCCAAAACTCTCAAAAAAGAAGTGAGTCTTTTCTTAAAAAATCCATGATCCCGGAAATGCAAAATAACTCAAAAAATTGTGAATTATCGAAAAAAATTATTTTGGCTCGAAACAACCTAAAAAGCTTTAAATTGCGTCCAA